ATATATATATATATATATATATATATATATATATATATATATATATATATATATATATATATATATATATATATATATATATATATATATATATATATATATATATATATATATATATATATATATATATATATACACACACACATACATACATACACACACACACACACACACACACATATATAGACACACACAGAGAGAGAGAGAGAGAGGGGAGAAATGGAATGGGTACAAGGACCGGTGAATGGGGTAAAAATCAAATCCTTCAAAAGGTTTCCATTAACACAAATTATTATTTGAAGAAGGTAAAATTTGATCTCCAATAAGTTTTAAAGAGTACAAACTGATAATTTTACATTACATCTTTTTTAAACCAACACAGAAATTACAATTCAACCAACTGAATTAAACAAAAAGAATGCACTCAACCAATGTTAAAACACCACCACCCAACCAAACTTGACCTTGCACCTTTTTCCTTGAAACCAAAATAATTGAAAGTCCCAACAAAGTAGATCTAATGAACAATTTTTTTTGAAAATTTAATACGTATCAAGTATATAATCCTTACTGTATTTGATTGACTAGGTAAAGTTCGTCCTGTTTTACTAGAAAGAATAAAACTACACAAATACGCTTTGACAGAGGGAGTATTTGAAAGTCACAACAAAGTATGACTTACATAATAATATTAGTCCACTTTGTGGTAACAAACAATGGGCATCTCCACAGGACCTGCAGATAAGGCATTCAAAACTGTGAAAGTCTTTCAAAAAACTAAAGGGTTGGTGGAGGCAACAATGGGGAGAGGATTTCATTAATCCACTCACTGCTAAAACATAGTGTATAATGTTAAAGCTTACAATTGCCAATAAATCTCTAAAGTTGGTGACCTATTCTCCAATGAAAATAAGAACTAATTAAATACAGGACTTCCACACAAGGCCACAAAATCCATTTCGCGAACAAGGACGAGAGGACAGATATTATACACAAAACTTGCAAAGAAATGAGAACCTTTAGCTGTTTTTTTCATAAGAATGTATATAACTGTACATTGCACACACCAAGGAACACCTGTCAACTACCATCTGCAACAATTAGATGAACTGACAAAAAGCTTGTCAATGAGATGAGCGAAAGAAGCAAGCGCCAAAAGCTTGGTGCAAGCAGGAGATGGGTAATATTCTTATTTGGGGAAAAATATTATATATTGAAGCTCAACATGGGTAGAAAAATAAGCACTAAATGTTCTTTAAAATGATGAAAGAGACCGGGAGCTGTTAAAGGAACTATATGGGAGTAACTATTATTCCTTGTTACCGAATTTCTCGGCAATGATGGGACGGACATCATCTGCATCTGCCAATGTCTCAAGAAATGGAAGAAGTGAGATTAGTGCAGAATCAGAAGGGTCATCAAACCAACTCTTAATAGGAATGCCATTATTCACTTGTAACCTGAAAACCTGAAAGCAAGTAGAACGAGTGTTGTCCTGGTTACATGACTTGAATCTAACAAATCGACTGTTAAATTTGAAAATAAAGGTCTGCATTCTCAATTTCGCTTCAGAAAATAGAAAGGAGCTTAAAAGATGCTTGAATAACTCTCTTTAAATGTGCTTCTACTTCAATTGTCACCACAATTCAAGAAGAATGCACTTGGGGAATCTTAAAATAGGTTGGAGAATAGTGGCACTAAAAAAGGCATGTCTTCCCTAACACTAGAAAAACTAAATTAATACATCTTTGGAAATATGCCCCTAGTACAATATCCATAATGCAGAAACAGTGAAATTAGACCACGTCGTGAGTGCCTAAGAAGAATTAATGGAATGGGTAAAAAGGAAATTATAAGTTCACAAATCAAGTCTTGTTACGACAATGAATGATTTTAAAGTTTTATATCCCATGTAGACATCTTTCTTGCCAAATAAAAAAGAGGCACAACATGTTTAAATCATTACTACAGATGAAACCTCCAACAAGCCAATACATGTAAAAGCTTTGACAATAAATTCTTTGTCAAATATAATGGATATTCAATTACCTGTGGAGAATTATCAATGATTACAATTTTTGCAAGATCAACACCCAGCACTGTCAAGTCTTTAGTGTAACTACCATCTGAAAAGATGCATGATTCACGATAAGCTCGTCTTGAGATGTATTTACCATCAGGATCCAGTATGTCTAGTAGCTGTTTTGCATAGATGCTTTGGCTTGCTGTATTATAATGTTAAAGTTTGTATAGACGTTGAGAGAGGTCTTTACTGGATTCTACTCCAGAGACGAAGTGTATTTGCTACACGAGAAAGTACAACTTTTTCTGACCTTTACACTTCAGCCGTAGTAACGTAAGAAGGTCACATCTTACTTGTTCACAGAGACCTGTGCAGTTTTCTTTGTAGTTAAATTTTTAATATTGTTCAACAATGATGATGATGATAATGATGATGATGATGATAATAATAATAATAATAACAATAATAATAATAATAATAACAACAATAATAAAATGATAGATAGTGAACAGACAAGCATCTCTGGACATACGAAAAGCAGCATCAGACTTTTAAAAAACTTGTGGGTTGCAAATACCAATACGCACACAATGAAAGCAGGTTTTACTGCTTAAAATTTACAAATCTGAACTTAAAGTAAACCCTAGGTTTCCTTTTCACATTCCGCATTTGATCTCTCCAATCAAAACCAAAATGCCCCATAAATGACAAGATGTTAATAAAGACACAAGTATAGAATAAGATTACTTGGTTACCTAACTTGTAAAATTGTTTGGCTACATAGCCTAATGAATGTCAATACATGAGAAAGGGGAGATACACGAAATAACATACCATCCAGATCAAGTACTAAGGTGACTGGCTTCTCATTCTCCAGCTTATTTGGCACGGAGGCTGGCTTTACCACATCCGGCAAATCTGGAACATTTCTAATAAACACATGAGGATCAAAGCAATCAAACTGATCTGATTCAGTGTGTTCAAAAACATCAGTTTCCTGATAATGTGGTCTTATTTGGTGGATTGCCATATATAAGCTTGATTGGTCAGAAACTGTACTGTTTTCATTGCATGACCTTTGACTTTTATCATCATTGCCACTGAAAGCTTCTGGAGTATGCTCAAGAAAAGGAAGCAGCATATATTCCTCAGCAATGTTAGTAAACATGTCTGGTTCTTCACATTTATAATCAGGAAAAAACATGGTGGACGAATCAACATCATAGATTATCCCATCATCAGTAGGTAAGCCAGAAACAATCATGTCAGAAATGTAGAAATCTGACACGTTGCACGAATGATATTCGCATGAGCTTCTACTACTATCGCTATCTTCTGTTTCCAACAGTGGAAGATACAGATCATTGCTTCCTACAGCCATCCAAGAGAATAATAGAATCAGGTTGCAAGAATGTCTCCTTCCACATACTCTCAACAAAACAAAACACATTAGCGAGTGAAGGAATTGTTTAGCTACTTGTTCAATGTACAAATCAGAAATTACTCTCTGACGAAAGAGAAGACAAAAGACCAGTGCACTAAAAAAAGTTTACTTCACTGAATCTTTTCCTAAGCTAGAAAACAAGAGGCAAATACTCTCGGATATAATCACTTCCTGATGCAACATTGAAATATCCTTATTTGAAAGAACACCAAGGTTCTTTTGACATTGGAACCCAATGTCATGTTCTTAAATGTCAAAGTTTACCTCCATCATTTTTGATATTTGACACATTATGGACATCCATGGACTCCAGGATAGGAGAAAAAATTGTCTCTAAGCTTGCCGTACAAGTTGTCGATGTAGAATCCTATTCAAGTTCAGAAACAAAATTGAACGTTAAAAGCCAGAACTTCTATCTTTAAAAACACAGAACCATAAACTAACACACACACTTCAAGACTAAATAGTTCTCCAAATTACCATGCTTCCAGCAGTTGTAGAACCACTTTGGGGTAATTGTTTACAATCAGGTGGAAAATCTTCTCCACAGAGCAATTCATCACCATGTGCTCCATCTTCTCTGAAACTATCCAGGTATAGTCTGTTGCAGTATGAAACTGCAAGAACCATAGTAGAAACTTAATAGTGTTGGCAGAAAGTGACTGAGATTCACTAAATAAGTCATGTGTCATCAGCATTTTCACAAGTAGTTGTGAAGAAGTTGAGCAAGTTGTCCAAATGACACCTCTAATCAAATCATTTTATTGGCAAGAGATACTTGTTCAAGTTTTACCCATCGTTTGGATGGTGAGAAAGAGGAAGGAAAGAAAATGCTTGAAAGGAAAACACACAAAACAAAGCATTTTCTTATGTTTGTTTCGGAGAGAAAATGATGGGAGTGAGAAAGCTAAGCATGGGCCCCACGTAAAAAAATCTCACGAGAATAGGTGAGAAAACTTGAGCTCCTTTTCCCACCACGATATTTCTCTTATTCCATCTTTTCAATCTATTTTCACACCATTTTCTTTCCATTCTCCATCAATCCAAACATTAACTTTTTCTCATCATTTTCTCACTATTTTCTTTCCCATCATTTTCTTTCCTCTCATTTTCTCATCTTCATCCAAACAAAGGGTTAAAGACTCAAAAATGTTACTAATTCATTCTTTTTCTTCATCCCAATATAAGCTTCTTCGTGGGAAGTGGCACATTAATTATTTAATTTAGAAAGTTGATAATGTGATTAAGATTTACTTAAAAAGGCAAGAACAAATGTCAACCCCACAATTCTTTCATTAAAAGGGAAGAGAGGTTTATTGGGAAACATCCATGAGAGGAAATACTGAAGTTAATACTGGGACAAGGAGCTTTCAATGATTAAGAATGATTTTATTACAAAAGTGGTTTGAATGATACCTATAATCCAATGATCTTTGGAAAACATTACTTGTTCATAATCTTTTTTATGTTCATTCTCCCCGTTAAAAATACTAAAGATCTATAGGAAAACATTTAATTGTCAAGTTTAATACTCCCTCTGTCCCAATTTGGTAAGCTGAGTTTGACTGAGCGTGGATATTAAGGAAGTAAAACTGTGTTTTTGAGATTTATGGCAAAGAGAGAGAAACGATATATACTACTTCCTATAAATGGAAACAGTCACAACTTGGGATGGACCAAAAAAAGGAAAAGATGTCCAACAAATTGGGACGGAGGTAGTAAATATTTCAAAAAACTCTAGTCAAATTTTTCATGCCTTTAAATACATATAACAGCATTTTCAGTTTTTTATCCTTCTATATTGACTTTAAAAAATAAACCTACATAAATACATCTCTTACCATTATGATGATCTTGATCAAACTCAACAAGTTCTGAATTTTGAGCAACTTTGACATGGGAGAGAGAATTCTTGTATATGGAACACGATCTTTGGCAGATGTGAAGACCTTTTTTTTCTTTTGAACAGGATTTTGCTGACTTTGTCTTCATTATTGATGGCATCTAACCAGCACTTGTTGGATCCTTCAAGAACTTGATATTAACTGGGCACATACACAGATGAAGGAAAATCTTGGCACGAGCAGATCAGTCACCCAAGACTGTCGTGAGAATCAGTTCCACATTCAGAAAGGGATCACAGAAGCTTATGTATCTACAAACGCCACGGCAGAAAAGGGAGAGGACGGTCAAAGAAGGCAGGGGAGTAGGAGGCACAGACTCTCTTTTCAAGCGCCAATCTTTAATCTCCACATCAAATGATTAATCAAACGCTGTTAACAGAAGATTTACATGCAGTTAATCATGCACTAAAACTTCAAAACAAGTTACTGATTAATGGACTTTCCTCGGAAAACATTGGTTCAAATTTACCATACTAGCTCACAGATTATAATGGAGCATTCTTAAACTAAAACACATGTTACCAAATAGTATGCAAGCTTCGTGATCAAGTATTGATTTCCCTTATTTGCAACTAAATAACAGCCAGTAATGTACTAGAACAGAAAGGCTGTCCAAGGATGGGCTAATACTAGCAAAGGACATAATGTTCTCACATAAGCCAAATGATGAGCTAGAGGAGTGACTTATGGAGGTTATAGAGACTTAGCTTTACAACCCGGCATTCAATTCCCCAGCTAGACTGATAGAGTTATTCACATTAACATGTGCATCTACACTCACTTCATTTTATGAGTGCATTTACTATACGTTTACCCAAATTCCAAATTTGAAAGTAGTTAAAAAGTAATCAGTGAGATGATATAACCCTTCAGCTATTACTTCCTTACACTCCACTCCTTAGTCTCACCTTTTTATCATTTATTTTTGCAGATTGATGTTCAAGCCGAAGAACATCAACGTTCACTAACAGCATCAATTATACACTCATCTTACCATATGCACGATGAATAAGAATTGTTTTTACTTATCATGTGACTGAGATGATACAGGACAATACCCACCAATTCCTCTAAGGCCCCGATTATTAATCTCAAAAGGGGACTTTTTCCGGCACATATTCCCTACTAAATTACTAGTCCGGCCAACCCATGGCAGAAAATGACTTGTGCATGAACCTTTACGCTGCATTTACCTCAACTAAATGGAAAAACGGGACTAAAAAGAGATTAAATTGGCATTTCTTCATTCTTGGCTGAGAAAAATAAAGACTCAGCCACATGCTCTACACTGAAGCACTGGATACTACCATCTACCACTATGAACTTGAAGAATAGTTTAGACATTTGTGCATCGCTAATCTGGCAAACCACTTGCTTCTACGACGAAAGCGCTGAGACATAAACAAGATCTTACAGTGCAAATAAGGCTAACACATAAATTTTCAGTAGGGAAAGAGAAAACAAAATCGCTGAAAGGTTTCAGCTTGAAGCAAGAAAATCAGAGGCCGGCATTATAGGCCCCTTCAAGATAAATCATAGCCTGATAGAAAGCTTGAAGACAACAAAAGAGCTAAAAGATTTGAACTTGAACCAAAAAAAACCCTCGCGTAATCCAATCAAACCCTAAAAGAGGTCAACTCAAGTACTCAACTCAAACCCTTCAACCCACATCCATGCAATTTCCATTCCAGATCGACAAATCTCGAACAACCCCTACGAGAGTAGACGGAGGCGAGTCAACTCAACTCAACTCGAAGACGCAAGTCCACCGTCAAAGACTCAATAATTCAACCGAATTACACCAGAAACTCAAACTATCAAATCCAGGCGAAGAAAACCCCACAATTCGCCGGCTTCGAGTAACCACGCAACTCGAAACCGATCATCCGATTTCGAACTCAATTCCGCCGGAATTGAGAAAAACGAAATTGACAGAACAAATTCTCGTCATCAATCAAGCTAACAAAACAACAGTAATCGCAACAGAAAAAGATAATCTTCTCAGGTATATACCTATACAGAACAGCAGAATTCCTCTCTCTCTCTCTCCCCTCCTGTGACGCGTTTTCTCTCTCTAAACTTTATCTTCCTGATGTGATCCTGTACATATAAAAGGCTGCGATAATACTTCCAGAGGAGCTCCGCTCGGGTGTAACGCGGACCACGATACGGGGTTGTACGAAACGCCTTGGGCGTGGTGCGGTGAGGGGCAAGAATGTCATTATGCGGACAAGGGGAGGGTAGAATTGTCCGAAAGGTGAATTGTGATTGGGGGGGTGCTGTGATGGTCTACGGGAAGGGTGGGCGCAGTCGCGCAGAGGATCGGCGCCCGAGTGGAGGACCGGTTGACTGGACACGTGCCGGTTCTCGGGAAAGGGAGAGCCGTGGAGGATATGGCTGCTACCCAAATTCTTAGGTTCCCTTTTTAGGGAATGTTTGGTCGTGAGAGGTACAAGAAAGGTATTGTGAATGGAGTCAAATCTTGGTAAAAGGTAATGAAAAGGAAAGAAAAATTCTTATTATTTATTATGTAATTTTTATTATTGAAATCAGTTCAAATTAGATCAGATCATATCAAAAAATACTTTAAATATAATTGCATTTAGATTGGATCAGACCAGATCAAATCAAAACTTAATCTTTTGACATCAAAATCATTCAAATCATGCGAAGAGAACATGATCGAAATCATACACTCATATGTATTCATATTGGTTTAAAGTTCTACTATATAGGATATGGAATTGAATATATGTACTTTCCAATCTACATGGGGTTATTCTCTTTTCTCACGGGATAGACTTGCCCTAAGTGTGAAGATATTGGTTATAGTGTTGTGTTACTGTTTAGAAAGATGTTTTGACTACGAAGGTATAAGAAATGGCTTGATAAATTTATGAATAATAATACTCTGTAATACTTTTTGATAAAAGTATTTTTGGTGGTACCCCAAACATTTTTAATTAGATAAGACTTAAGCATCTAGTATGATCTCTTTTATGTCAAAAATGTATCATTAATCCTCTATATTTGTAGAGAAAATCTGACTCGACATGTTTTTTGGACTAATCAACACAACTATATATTAAGGTTGTATTTAAATATATACTCCCTCCGTCCTAGAAAACATTTCTCCTTTCTTTTTTCATCCGTCCCAAAAAACACTTCTCATTTCTAATAAAAAGTCACTTTTATCCCTTACATATTTATGACATAATTAATATTAAATTTAATTCTTGAAAAATAAAAAAATGCTTATCTAACATATACCTCAATACTATATAATTATTATGAAACTGAAAAAAATATTTTTCTGGAAATCATTGTTTGCTTCTCTGAGGTCATATAGTGAGGTTATTTTGAATGTCGCATCCATTGCATTGCAGCATTGCCCGGTGGAACAACAACACACTCGAGATTCTCAATCCCTTTAGCGCAAACCAAAAGCTCAACACGTGCCATCAATTAATATTAAACATGTAAGATTAATATATTTTTCCATTGAGGCACTGGATCACATGATGAGAGATGTAATAAAAGTATTTAATAATTACTCCACAAATGGACCATTTAGGGGGGAACGAGTTGTACATGGAGGTGATTTTTTCCAAAATCCATTTAGTTTTACCAAAGTATTCGAGAGGGAAAATTGTAGGTGGTAATGTCAACTTCTCAAAATTATGATCGTATTGTAAAATTTATACGTTTATCAAGAATATGAAATTGCTAAGAGAATTGAATGTTTCTACTATAAGCACAAATTGTGCAGTGAGCTAATGCAATGAGTAGACCAACAACATAATCATTTATTAGTGCACGCTAATATTAATTGTATAATGTTGACTGATTGAGTGCAGAATGGTAAATGGGCTTTTGATTTTAGTAACGCTACAGCCTTTTACAATGACCACATGAATTGTACTACTTCTGATATGTTCATGTCATATATTCCAGGATAATAGAAAAACAAAAAAAGCTTCTTGAGAAATATAAAACTACTTATTTTGACATCTACCTCAATACTATATAGATATTATTAAACTGAAACAATATTTCTCTAAAAATCACGATTTGCTTCTCCAAGGTTAAACGATAAGGTTGTTCTGAATGTCGCATCCACTACATTACATCATTGCTTTTACCCGGTGGAAAGACAGTACACTCGATATTCTCAATCCCTCTAGCGCTAACCTAAAGCTCAAAGTGTGCCATCAAACAAGAGAGTCCAAAAGTAAAACTAATCCAACAAATGAGATGAAACATGTATGCTTAATAGATTTGCTATTGAGGCATTAGATCACACAATGAGAGATGTAATGAAATTCTTTAATAATTACTCCACAAATGAACCATTATGGGGAAAATAGTTGTACATGGAGGTGATTTTTGCCAAATTCTTCTAGCTTTATCGAAATTTTCGAGAGAACATTGTAGGTGCTATTGTCAATTCCTCAAAATTATGGTTGTATTGTAAGGTTTATACATTGACCAATAATATGAGATTGCATTCATTTATGTCTTATTGAACGGATCGGGACACAAGCTTTTTCTGACTAGATATTCAAAATTGGATATGTAAAGCTTGAACAAGTGATTGATAAAAACTGCTGATGTTGAAATATCGCGTGAATTCTTGATTCTTTAAAAAAATTATCCTCTCAAGAGTATAATAGACTCCATTTCTCTGATCATATAAGAGAATATTCAAAAATATTATTTTTGGATATTGGAACCCATGCTCGAGGTTGTAGAAAGGAGTACTTATGTTCTGATTCTTCATGTTGGACAAATTCATATATAAGTGTTGATGACGATTGATTAACAGTTGAGTGTTTGAATTAAATCAAATGTTTCAAAATCCCAAACCAAAAATAAGTTTTAAAAAAGGGGTACGAATTATGTTATTGAGAAACATTAACCAAACATTTGGATTGCGTAATAGTTAAAGGTAGAGCTGCAAAAGAACTTTATCGATGCAATTGTGGTTTTGGGAAACCAATTCAGGAAAAGGTTTACATACCCTGAATGAATTTGGTACCATCTGATTCATGATTATCCCTAAAATTTCAGAGAAGACAAATCCCAATAATCATATATTTTGCTATGACTATTAACAAGCGCCAAGGTCAAACATTATCCTTTATTGGATTATTTTGAACCAAGTCGATATTCACTCATGACCAACTTTATTCGCTCTTGACTAGCTGTATGTTGTCGTTTCACGAGTGAAGATAACAACATGATTAAAAATATTGGTTCTAAATAACAAATACTCTTGCAATCATACCAAATATGTTGTATACCTTGAAATCTTTCAAATAGCTAGAATTAAAAATGACTTTGTCGAGTATACTTTCAATTCCTCAAATAGTATTTATTTTACTCTGGTGTTGTTGTCTAATGTGTTAAAAATCGTGTGAGAAATATATTTAGTTGATTCCTAGAAAAAATTGCACAGAAAAAAATTTAGAATAGACAAAAATTTTGTTCGACCACGTGTGTTGCACGGGTCAAAAAACTAGTTTTTAATTAGATAAGACTTAAGCATCTAGAACGAGTATGGTCTCTTTTATGTCAAAAATATATCATTAATCCTCTATATTTATAGAGAAAATTTGACTAGACATGTTTGTTGGACTAATCAACACAACTATATATTAAGGTTATATTTAAATATATACTCCCTCCGTCATAGAAAACTTTTTTCCTTTCTTTTTTCATCCGTTCCAAAAAACACTTCTCATTTCTATTAAAAAGTCACTTTTACCCCTTACTTTTTCATACCCTACCTATCACATTATACCTTTTTACTTATAATCTATCCATCAAATTATACTTTTACCCATCACAGCAAAGGACATTTTTGGAAATTCAATACCAAAATACACTCCCCTTAAATCTCTCTCCAATACCAAAACTCCCATGTTTTCCGGGACAGAGGGAGTACTACTTAGTAGTATTTGAACACTTGTGGTGTCTCAAAGCTACCAGATCCAAACTAGAGCGGTGGTAATACTCCTCACGCCCCACGGCGTTATGGAGCTTTTAAAGCCTAGGGGGCGTTAAACACCGCCCCCCTGAGGCATCACCGCGGCGTTATAGCACCGGCATCAGACGTTTGACGCATGAATCCCCCCTAACTGCTAATATAGCTGTTGAAAGCAAAAAAAGAAAAAATTAATTAATTTTTTTAAAAAATTTCAAACTTCTCCTCCTCCCATTCTGACATCTTCAATCTTCTTCACATCTTCTTCAATTCTCTGACACTCTTTTGAACATGAATCCTTCCGGCTCTGACTTCTTCCCCGACGATCTCGAGCCTCACGAACACACGATGTGGTATTCCCAACAATTCAGGCAATAATTCGGGAGTAATTTGCCGATGTTCGAGACGCAACAATCGGGGTTTGTCGAGCGAGAGTCAGTTCCGGAGACTCAACCGGGACCATCCGGCACCAAAAAAAAGTGCACGCCGGAAGGACCACAAAGCGAAAGGCACGATGACTGAGGCGGCACAGTGAATCCAAAAGTGGACACCAGAGGAAGAGTGCTTATTGGCGTCGGCTTGGATTGACGTCTCCGAGCATCCTATCGTTGGTAAAAATTATATGTTTTCTAATATATTTATGTTTTTATTTATATAAATTATATATAATCGTGTTAAAAAAATTCTTGTTATACTTTTTTAAAGGTTCGGAGCAAACGAAGGATGCAATATGGGATCGTATCGAGGAGAAGTTTTTCACAGCGATGAACAAGGACGACTCCTACCGTACCTGGGACCAACTCACTTCCAAATGGAGCCACATCAACCGTAAAGTCCAAAAGTTTATCGGAGTTTACGAGGAATGCGCTCGGTCCCAGAGGAGCGGGATGAACGACGCCGGTGTTCTCTGGCTTGCCACGACCTGGTACCAAGATGACGGGCACCAAGGCATGGTGCCCATCGATCTTTGGAGGATTTTGAGCCGTTCACCGGAGTGGAAACAACTCAACAATTCCGACGGCGGATCGTCAAAGAAAGATCCTCTATCGATGCCGAGGTGGAGGTCGACGACACTATCGGTTTGTTCGAACAAAGGCCTCCACTCAACGTTGTGGATTCCGATGACGAGGACCCCATTCCACGACCGATCGGAAGAAAGAAATCAAAATTCATTGCCTCGGGTTCTAGAGGGTCTGGCTCTGTTTCCATTTCTTCTTGCGACAATATCGGTTGGGCAATGGTTGAACAACTTTGGGTTTCAATATTCGGGAAGAAGAGAGGATGAAGCGAAAGGAAGAGAAGGACGAGATCGAAATCATGGAAACTGACATTTCTACGTTATCGGCCTTCAAACGGATGATCTTCGAGAGAAGACAAAAAAGAGATCAAGGTCAAATATAATTTACCTTAGTTTTTTTATTAATGTGTCTTTTTTTATTACTGTCGCTTTATTTTTTTTAATTTAATGAATGTAATTTTTTTAAATTATTTTCGTTTCAATTTCTTTAAATTTAATGAATGTATTTTTTTAATTATTCTTGTTTCAATATAATTAAATAATAAAATAATTAAATTATATTAATTTAGTTTTAGAAGATGTATATTTAAAAATGTAAAAAATGAAGGTTTGAAGTCCCGGAGCTTCAAACTCATTTCCACTGAATCTGTGAGGTAAGTTAAAGCTGACATGACAGAGAGAGAAATTCTGAAGCCCCGATTTGAAGCCTCAGGGCTTCACGGGTATTTCCAGTGCTCTTAGTAATTAGTATTCGAATACTCAAAATAGTTTTCAAATGTTCTAGGGTCACAAAATTGATATCTAGATTCGTTTATGAGAGTTTAGTATTTGAATACTCAATGGACCATTCGAATATGAGTGAGTTTCATGGAAAATTGTTGAAATTAAAGTTATAGTGAGTTTTCGAATACTAGGTTTTAATATTTGAAAACTCAATTTTCATGTTTACTCTTTGGAAACGGCACATAAAATTTGACAAATTTTCATAAAACAAATAATACCAAAATAAAATTGGCTAAGGGTTTTACTCCTTGGTCATTGCTATAAGATATATTGTCTCTAAACACCCGCTTCCAAATGTTTGAAATAATAGTGTATAACAAGTGTGTACTCCATTCTTTCTCATCCGTATCAACATTTATTAATATAATATTACGTCAAATATTTAAATTAATTCTAAATTTACAAACAGGACTTTATATGAAATAGTTTTCTATGTAAATTAGTGGGAAGATCATGAGGACCTTTAAATTAAGAAAAAGCTTACCGTAGGCATAAGGTCCATAATAGACTTTCACATAAGAAAAGTAAGCAAATTTTTTTTAATAAAATTAACATTTTTATTTTGTGACATTTACACTAAATAGTAATAAAATATATGTCATTTCTCAATGTAGTACGTAAATAGTTTTATTCCCTAAATAGTACTTAAATAATGTCTAGTAACAGAAACAATATTCAGTGATAATGGACATTTATTTTGAATAATATTGAGTGACAGTGAATATTTACTTAATCAATGACCACTGGTAGTATCCTTAAAGTACTCCACAATCATTGACAAAAAGGAGATGGTTTAGTTAGGTCAGTTTTAAAACAGTCGCGCTAGGGGTACACCACTCGTGTACCCCAATTCATACACCATATACACCCCCTTCCTCTTTCTTCTCTCTCTATATCCCTCCCTTGCTTTCTTTCTCTCCCCCCCTCTCTTGTAGATCTTTCCAGGGAATTAGGGAGCGGGCAACTACCGGAAGACCAGCCCTTCCTTCGTCTTTCTCGTTTTTTCACAGTGACATCACCTACTTTTCTTTCATCCGTCCAGTGCATCGGTGGAAGATCCAACTTGGTGAATACTTCATCCTTTGTCTTCTTCGATCTTCAATTTTGCGCCTTGACCACCATACAATAGCAAACTAAAGGTTATAATAAATACTTTTTATTTCAATTTTAGGGTTTTTATTTGTAAAGCTAGATTCAATCATTCAATTCTAACAAAAATCGAGCCTTCCCTCTTGTGAAATTAGTCTTTTTAAAATATTTTTTTGTGAATCATTCTTTCTCAAACTTATTCAGTCATTTAATTTGTTTTTAATCTTTTCAATGGCTGATTTTTTGTTAAAAACTTGTGGCAATTGGGAATTTTTCATGCTTATTACGAAATGTTTGTGTAGTGCTTGTTATTGGTGCAAAATGTTTGTGAAAGGAGTCTTACAGACGGAATTTTCACTCAGGGTACACAGATAGTAAATGTTTATGTTCAAACAATTACAGAACTTTAGTGTCTGTGTAACTAAATAGCATTGATACGGAGTATGTTTTTCTGTGGACAATTATCTATCACATAGACATCTACCGTCTGTGTCACTAAAATTACAGACAACTAGTGTCTGTAAAAGTCTTGATAAAATGTTTTTGATCAAGAATTACATATATATAATGTCTATGTCTGTGAAAGCCTTTATGTTCTACTACATGATATTTTACGGATTTCATTTTTATACATGTTACATAATACTCAGGAGGTATCACGGATTTGAACCTGGGATTCTCGATCTTTTCCGCCCCATCCTCTTCGCTGCCCAGACCGCCATAATGACTTTTTTTGTCGTTAATAGCGTCACCGGAGGAGAGATCTTTGATTCAGATTATACAAATAGTAATTGTCTGTGTTCAAGAAAATAAAGACGTTTAGTGTCTGTGCGACTAAACAATATTAATTGTAATTTTTCTTTTCTTTTTTAAACGTAGAAAACTTTATGGAATGTTCTTGGTACTGTACTATTTCGTAGATTTGAAGGGTGAAATTTTAATGTGAATTATAGATTTTTAGTGTTTGTGTAACAAAACGGTGGTAATTATAATTTTTTCTTTTTTTACAATCTAGAGTAATTGTGAAACATTCTTTATGATAGCATTATTTGGTATATTTGACAGATGTATTTTTATTTAGGTTTTACAGACAATAAGTTTCTGTTTACAATAAATTACAGACATTTGTTGTTTGTGTGACCAAAACATACTCCACACTTAGTTTATTTTTGCAATATAAGAAAAATATCATGAAATATTCTTATTATTGTATTATTTGGTATATTTTACAAGTGCGATTTTCATACATTAAAAACAGTTAATAAAACCTATAATTTTTGAGTTCTTGTTCTTATTACTTTCTTGTGATCCATTCTTCTGAATCGGATCATCTGGTGGAACTATTGTCCATCAGTTTGAAACTAATTTAATTGACTTTATGTACAGTTGCAATTTTTATCCAAGTTATGCAAAGTGTTTAGGAGAATTACATACATTTAGTGTCTATGTGACCAAACACTTCATATTGTTTTTTTGCATTTAGAATTTGTTTTTCTTGTCCCAACAAATCGTGAAATATAATGTCTTTGTAAGTAGATTATTTGGCATATTTAATGCATTGAGTGCGCCTGCTCACGAATGTATCATGTTGGTAACACATTGTGAAAATTCATAACACAATTAAATCAGAACTAAGTATACATTCCAACCAATACATTGCCTATCAGTGAGATTTATTTTTATATGCAGTTAATGTCATTAACTGAACAATTTATAGACAGTAAATCCCTGTAATTAGGCATTCACAGAAATTTAGTATCTGTGATTACACTCTTAGTGTTTGTGATTAAAAATCAGACGGTAAACGTTTAGGAGTTCCATGTGTCCTTAAGAAAAAACAATCCCATCAAGATTATATTTACCATCACAAATAAAAATGTTTATGAAGCAAACACAAAACAGGTGTCGCATCTTGAGTCCATATCGATTAGTATGGTAATGTAATACATATAATTATACACAAAGAGCGAACAAAAACAAAAAAACTCAAACTCGGTGAATACTAACGACTAAAAAGCCTAAGGTAATCCTGATTTAGATACAAGTTTGAGAGCAACTCCATATAGACCCATAAAAGCTTGACCTGATTCAGTCACAAACATGGCGAACGAAAGCCGAAGGAGCAACGCAGGGTTTTATATCAGGCTGCAAGACATCATTGAACAAGACAAGTAAATTAAAGCTCAAAATCATTATAAGAGATTAAGTAAAAAATCGACATTTAAAGCCAATAGCTTGTAGTTCACATATTGAACATACATTTTTTGCTTGTATCTAACACTTTACATACTTTTGGAGCTATTTTATATAAGGACGGCACTTTAGTTGTTAACTAGACATTTCACGCTTGTGACTATCACGTCACATACATTTAGAATAATTTTTTAAACAGGGCACTAATTCACATGTAAGAAAGGCATTTTACACCTGTAACTAGCAGTTCACATACATTTAAAACAATTTCAGACAGTTATAAACAAAAAATTAGATTTACAAAGTTATGGTTCATAATCAAACAAAAAAATTAAGAATTCATATATTGTGGTCATTGATAGTGACAATATACATGAAATTTTAACTTAACTCTCTATTTATACCTAGATTGAAAAGAATATTTTCTCATATAAAAGATGAAAAAACAGAAAAATAGAAATTTGATTGAATTTTTTTAAAGAGAAGAACATGAACTTACCTGATGGCGATGGGGAAGGCGGTAGCGACGACAGTGGTGGTTAGCTCAGTCGCTAGTTGTGAGGAGATATTTGAGTGAGGGAGGGAAATCGAGTGAGGGGACCATGAAGGATCTGGTGGCGACGAACCGTTTAAGACGAAGAGAGGTGACGTGCGGCGAAAATCGGGAAGGAGGAGGAGGCGGTTGCAGATCTGTTGATGAATTAAACGTGACTGCGGCGATGAGGTGGCGGTGCCACCCTTCAGAGTTGGCCGCCGGCAAGAAAAAAGGGTAAAAGACGATGGAAAATGGAAAGGAAACGGGGGTGGGGATACTAGAGAGATGAGTATGGAAAGAGAAAAGAATAAGGTGAGAAAGAGAGGAGGGGGCCGGGGGGTTTACACTGGGGTGGGGGTATGTTGGTGTACACCCGGTGTACCAATTGGGGGTACACATAGCATTTCTGGTTTTAAAAAGTTGGGAGTTGGAACTGAAATTCTGTAAATGCAATCTGACATTTTACTGAGAAGCAGAGTTTACTCGGCAATGGAGATGGTTAAAAAAGAGAGATGATTAAAATAATAATAAAAAATTAAGAGGGGTGGAAGCGGAAGTCCCGGATTCGTCGAAGAGAATCGAAGAAATACAATCCCAGTGATGACACAGATCCCTCATCTGCTTCTATCTCGGAACCCGCATGAATATATGAGCAGAATCCACCACCTCACCTCAAAGAACCCAAAAAATGGATTTTTCAGGCAAGGAAAACGAACCCACCGCGGGGAATAGCAGCAAATCCGCCGCCGCATCCGCCGCAGGCAGCAAGAACGCAAGAAAGGCAATGGCTCAGTACAGTGCTGATGCTAAGCTAATGGCCGATTTCGAGCAGTGTGGGGAGTCAGGTAAGTCTTTCAACTACGCTAGGTCAGTAAACAATGCGACCCAGAATGCGTCCGAAGAAGAAATGGTTGCCTATCTGTCAAAAATCCAGAGGGGTGGCCTTATCCAACCCTTCGGATGTATGCTTGCAGTTGAGGAACCCACTTTCAAGATTATAGGGTTCAGTGAGAATTGCTTTGATTTGTTGGGTTTGATGGGTTTTGTTGATCCTAGGGATAAGAGGAGTCTGATTGGGATTGACGCCAGGACTCTCTTCACCCCCTCTGCTAGGGCTTCTTTGGCAAAAGCCTTGGCTTGTAGGGAGATTTCTCTGCTGAACCCAATCTGGGTACATTCTAGGAGCAACCAAAAGCCCTTTTATGCTGTGCTCCACAGGATCGATGTGGGGATTGTGATTGATTTGGAACCTGCTAGCTCCGGTGATCATGCAGTGTTGCTTGCAGGGGCAGTTCAATCGCAGAAACTCGCTGTCCGTGCGATTTCTAGGCTTCAGTCTCTCCCCGGGGGAGATATAGGGATGTTGTGTGACACAGTAGTTGAAGACGTACAGAGGCTGACTGGGTACGATAGGGTGATGGTTTATAAGTTCCACAATGACGATCACGGGGAGGTTGTGTCAGAAATCAGGAGGTCAGATTTGGTGCCTTATTTGGGGTTGCATTATCCTGCAACTGATATCCCCCAAGCAGCACGTTTCTTGTTTAAACAGAATAGGGTAAGGATGATCTGTGATTGCAATGCGCAACCTGTCAAGATTTTTCAAGCTGAAGAACTGCAACATCCTCTATGTTTGGTTAATTCAACCCTTAGATCTCCACACAGCTGTCATACCATTTATATGGCTAACATGGGGTCTATTGCCTCATTGGCAATGGCAGTTGTTATTAACAGTGGCGAGTCCATGAAGCTTTGGGGATTGGTAGTGTGTCACCATACTACCTCAAGGTATGTTCCTTTCCCACTTCGCTATGCATGTGAGTTCCTCATGCAAGCATTCAGCCTCCAGCTTCATATGGAACTTCAGTTGGCCATACAATTAGCCGAAAAGAAAATGCTCCGTACCCAGAGCTTGCTATGTGACATGCTTCTCCGGGACGCTCCATTTGGGATAGTTACACAATCGCCTAACGTGATGGACCTGGTTAGGTGTGATGGGGCTGCACTGTATTACGGTGGGAAGTGTTGGTTACTTGGTGTGACACCAAATGAGGCACAAGTCAAGGATATTGCTGAGTGGCTGTTAAATACTCATGGGGATTCAACAGGTTTGAGTACAGATTGTCTTGCAGATGCTGGGTACCCTGGGGAAGGGTTATTAGGTGATGCAGTTTCAGGAATGGCCACTGCAAGAATCAGTTCTTCAAAGGACTTTCTTTTCTGGTTCAGGTCTCATACTGCTAAGGAAGTGAAATGGGGAGGGGCTAAGCATCACCCGGAGCAGAAAGATGATGGTGAACGAATGCACCCTCGGTCTTCATTCAATGTGTTTCTTGAAGTGGTGAAAGGGAAAAGTCTGCCTTGGGAAGATTCTGAAATTAATATCATTCATTCGTTACAGCTCATACTGAGAGATTCCCTTCAAGGGGTTGGGGAGAGCTTTGTGAAAAGCATGTCATCTTCCCAACAGAGTGATTCTGAAGGGACAAGGTTTTTTGAACTTAGTTCAATGGCGCGTGAACTTGTCAGGTTGATTGAGACAGCTACAGCTCCGATTTTCGGTGTTGATTCATGTGGAGTAATCAACGGATGGAATTCCAAGGTTGCTGAACTAACAGGGTTGGGAGCTGATGCAGCAATCGGAAAGCCTCTCATCGATTATGTCACTCATGAAGATTCGCGCGAAACTTTTCAAAGTTTTATGTGTGAAGCTCTACAAGGTAAATAATTCATTTGCTCGAATAAAAGTGGAATGGGGGGGGGGATAGATGCAATTAGCATGGCTTCATACTTTCTTTCTTTATTAGTTTTTGATGCCTACATTTCAATAATTGATACTCATAGTAATTGCTTCTGGTAAAAAATTTAGTTCACATTTGATCAAGAGGTTCATTAATGTGGTTAACTTAGTCATTACTTGTTGCCATGTTTCAAACTGATCTGATGTGCTAAGCTTTGTATTGGTTTCTTTTCATAAGCAAGATTGTCTTCCATTTTGCACATGTGATCCCTATTACCGATTTTAGTGAACATTAAGGCTTTGTATTGGTTTATTTTCCCTCGTGTGATTGAGGGAGAGAGACATAATGTGAGCCACACAATTCTTTCCTTAAGGGAAAGTGGGGCCATATTTTGGTAAAGAAAAAAAAACGTGAAACCTTCTATCACACTATTTTGCAGGAAAAACATCATACACAAAAAATTATTACTTTGTGATTCCCATTATTAAATTTCATTGCACATTAAGTTCTTTTTTTGAATATTTGTTTAGCAGGTTCTTATTGTGACCAATTGGTTATATGTATGGAGAATAATTCATGATTCGCGCTAATTCAGGTGAGGAGGGCAAAAACATAGAAGTAAAGCTGCTAACATTTGGGAGTCATGAAACAGGACAAGCCGTGCACCTTGTAGTGAATGCATGCACAAGTAGGGATTCCCAAAACAACATTGTCGGGGCATGTTTTGTGGGTCAAGACATCACTCCTCAGATAGTTGTCATGGACAAGTTTGTCCGGCTGCAAGGGGATTATGAGGCCATTGTACAAAGTCTCAATCCACTAATCCCGCCGATATTTGCTTGTGACCAGAACGTGTGCTGCTCCGAATGGAATGCTGCCATGGAACAGTTAACGGGCTGGTCTAAATCTGAGGTTTTAGGGAAGAGACTTCCCGGCGAGGTTTTTGGAGGGATGTGTCAACTTAGGGGTCAAGATGCACTAACCAAATTCATGATTCTCTTGTACCAAGGAATAAGTGGCCATGACAGTGAAAAGCTACCATTTGGGTTTTTTGATAGAAAAGGGAGTTTCTTGGAAGTGTTCATAACTGCAAACAAGAGAAGGGATGGGAAGGGAAACATAATTGGGTGTTTCTGCTTCTTGCAAATATCCACAAGAAGAGATGCCGAAAATGATGACAGAGAATGTGCGATGTCACTTAAAGAGTTCACATACATCCGACAGCAGATGAAGAATCCCTTAAATGGAATCCGTTTCACCCACAAGCTCCTTGTAGATACAGTTACTTCAGATGTTCAGAAACAGTATCTGGAAGCAAGTGCAGCTTGCGAAAGACAGATAATGTCTATAATCGAGGACATAGAGTATGGAGGCATAATAGAGGGGTAACTCAATTTTTGGAATCTCTTGTTAATTCTAGTACGAGTCTGGCTCTTTTGACACCAAGGGGCG